CAATGTTCCATATATTTTATATGGTACTGTATTTTCTAAAATACAGTCCTGACATAAACTCTGACCAGTATTTATTTGTGTGTCTGTGTTTCCAGGACCTACATGAGGGTTAAAGAACGAGTGGAGGCTGATAAAGACAAGGTCAAATAAATGTTCCATCATGCTCTCTGATTACACTCTGTTGTTGTTTTTACTACTGCCTCCGCCCTTAAGAAGAAGTTTTGACTTCTGCTTTTAAGTGTCACGCTTTTATTAGATTTTTCACTTCTGGTTTCAATAACTGAAAAATATGTTCATACATGTGGGCGTTTCCAAAATGTCACCCAGAACACCCTATCATCTGTATAATCACACAGATGATACTGCAAGTTTAAGACAATATGTGATAAACACCAGAAAGCCTGTGAACACTCTCATATGTATCATAATGGTAACACTGTGTGCAGGTTCTGGTGGTGAACCCGGTGTTCTTCAAGTACGCTCACGAGCGTTGGACCGAGGGTCACGGGCGCTACCCGTCCACCGGCATGCTGGCCCTCATCTTCGCTCTGCACACCTGCGACCAGGTAGGAGGGGCGAGGGCTTCAGGGGGCTATGATCCACACAACTGTGTTATAGCATTTAAAAGATAAAGAACCTCAATATGCCCTGCCCTAAGATGACCACTTTCCTCCAGTTCATGGCAAACTATAATATAACCTTGAAATGACATACTATATTATGCCTTTTTTGGTGACATACTATATACTATGATGTTTTACACTTTTTATACTATACCATGACTTTTTATGGCAAACGTTAGGAAAATATCAATCTACACCAGGTTGAGAATCAATAATCAGGTTCTAGTTTATTCTTGCAAGAAGGAGCAGAGTTAAATCACATACAAAGGATATGGTTTAACTCGCACACTCGTAACTTTTTTTATGTCACCTTTGACTTTTGACAAACTATACTATGACATTTTGATAACAATGTAATGCCATACCATTCATAGCTTTTTATTGCATACTATACCATGACATTTACAATAAAGTTACTACTATATATCATGATGTCATGACATCACTTCCTGTCTTCGTTCAGGTGTCCGTGTTCGGTTACGGCGCCGACAAGCAGGGGAACTGGCACCATTACTGGGAAGAGAACCGCTACGCTGGAGCCTTCAGGAAGACCGGCGTCCACAGCGCCGACTTCGAGACAGTGATCATCCAACAGCTGGCCAAAGAGGGCAAGATCAGTCTGCATCTGTGACCCACTGACCCCCAGACCCACTGACCCCCAGACCCACTGACCCCCAGACCCACTGACCACCAGACCCACTGACCCCCAGACCCACTGACCCCCAGACCCACAGACCACAGCCTGATGGACTGACATGAATAAAGACTGAAAGACGTGCTGACTGATGGACTGACCAACATAAAACTGGAGTTCATTGTCTTGATTAGCTGATTGGTTTACAAAATGCCAATATTTATAGTGAAATTCTGTCCATGGTGATCTCTTTACCTGTCTTATCAGTACAAACCCAAAGATTTTCAGTTTAATATTAAATATAAAACTCTTAATTAATTAATATTTGGCATTAAAGATAACTTTGAGGATTAATTGATTATCTAAAAAGGTAGCTATTATTTTTAATTGACCTATTGTTGCAGCTCTAGTGCTGACTGACCCACAGACAGACCTGCTGACTGAAGGATCCTCTGCTCACTCAGCAGATCACTCTTCACTCAATTGACAGAGAACCAGCTACATCTCGTCTGGTATCCAGCGGAGTTGAAAGTGTCTTTGCATTCCCAGCTGTGCTAAAATCGGAATCAACTCTGGACCTTATGTGCCTGCCAGATGTGTCTGTTGGGATTCGGACAGGAGTCAGACCTGTACTTCTTGCACATCAATCACCACGTCTGCCTTGAGTCAGAAATCCACTAATGCCGGATTGAAGCCGCTGTTTGGTATTGACATTGTTGAATACCTGGATTACCTGTGGATGGAGCCTTTCAGGATAGAGGAGCTAAACCTGCCACTTCCACTTGAAGGATGCAGCTTAGATCTCCTCCCTCTCGCTGGTTTAATTGAAATCCAGCTTAACATGAACATAAATACAGATTTGCGGGACCTTCCACTGCTTAAACAGACCTTATGTTGCTGTCTGGGACTGCGAGGATGGACCACACAAGTTGTGCTCTAAGCGGGGAAACAACCACAGACTTTATATATTTGATTTGATTTTATAGATATTATACAGGGATAACCTCTTTTTTTATTTTGTATTAAAGCACTTTTCCCTTAAGAAGAAAAGGCACAAAAGGGCCATGTTGTTGCTTTCTCTGTCCAACAAAGACTTTCTTTTCTATTTTCTATCATTTATAATCCACCCATTTATTCTGAATGAAACAAACCGTCCTGATCCGGAGGGTGTCTCTGTCCGGACAGACTTTAACTGGAAATGGGACAAAGTCTTTACGTGTTTTTTAACGTCTACATTTTTGGAATGTAAGCCAATGATGCTTCCCGTCTCGACCATATATGGAACTGGAGACAATGAGTGGGAGGAGCCTGTGTGAGGTTCTCAGCCTGTGTTTAAACTCCTTCATGATGATTCAACAGTCTGCCGTTTTCAGCGGTTTCACTCACAAAACAGAAGTTTAATGTTTTAAGGGACTACTTTTTTAGATCCACTAGCTGAAAAAGTTAATGAAAAGCGACAATGTTAAACTCTGCAGCTTTACATAACTTCCTTTGTTGTTGAAGACTGTTTCACTTTGTGATGTAACTCTTCTGAGTCAAAGACGAGGAGACAGTGCAAGACTAAACTAAAGATTTATTAAACAAAACTTAACAAAGTCAAACAATCAGTAACACCACCAGTGTGGGTGGTGCATGGACGAGAGGGAGAGTAGTGCAATGTAAGTCCAACCAAAAAAATCACCAACCATATGAATGAAGACGGAACGACCGGTCCAGCAGGAACTTCCTGTTTAAAGGGAGACGACAGCGCGCTGTCACACCTGTGCTGTGAATGTACAAAAACTGTTGCTGTTTTTCAATCACAGTCGTCTGAATGTTTGTGGCTTCGTTTACACTGAGAAGTTTCAGGACGTTTCACACTGGGGAAGTTTGAGTCTGAATCTGAGTTCCATTGTCCGTCTCAGATTGATAATGGACATTTTCTTTGCATTTCTGTTTTGTATGATGGGGACAATTCAGCATAATATGCAGAACATTTAAGTAATTTGCATCCATCAGCCATCCATATTAAGAAAGTATAATTTGGACAGAATACACATCAAACTGTTATTAATTTATTCGTCAATTTATCAGTCTTCCACGTTATCATTTAGATTGTATGTGTTGTTTTTAATGGTCACTTTTAAATTGGTGTTTCACTTTGTTTTTGTTGTGGAAAAAAGTCATTAACGGATATTTTGTCATATTTGTTTTATTTTTATTGACACACATGTTGACTTTTTAAAGAGAGATATCACAAACTGTAACTCTTAATTTAGCTCATTTTAGCCTTTTTGTAGCTTATGTTAATGCTTTTGGGAAGGAACAGAAACACATTTATCGTGTATATGCATCTCAATTAATATTTGATTTGGGGTTAAATTGAGCATTTGCATTTCAAATATTTGTCTTTCTTTTTAAAAAGGCAGCTAAATGATGAGCAACTAGCGTTGACCAGCCATACATGTAGTATATTATCACCCTAAACTCAGTGCTCTGCCTTTAGTTCTGTTCTGTTAGCAGTACGTCAAAACTTCAGCTTTTTAATCTCTTGTTTTATGCTTAAAATGCCACAAATTTGGACTATAGGTTTCCTGGCTGAGACTCTCAGGTTAACCATGTATTGGATTGGGACAAATGTAAATGTTAGTTTTTCTGGCGCTCCATTTCCAGATTCAGACCAACTTGCCAGTGTGAAATCGTTTCAAAGCTCAGTCTGCTTCAAACTAACTTGTTGATGCAACGTCTAAAGGCCAGGATGTGTGGCGTGAAAATCCTGCCGTCATATATTCCTCCTGGCAGCATCTCACTGCGTCCTTGAATGCCGTCCAAAATATCTGAGTCTGTGTAAGATGCAGCTGTTGGAGAGTGGGTTTTTAGACGATCCAACAAGCACTTTAAAGCAGACTGAGGGCTCTATATGATCATGGATGCTGAATTATTATCTGGAGGCGGATGCTCTGCTGCTCACTTTGGCTGCAGTTAAATGCTCTATTAAAACCCATCTGCTGAGTCTTCTCAAGCTGGGTTTTAATCTGAAACATCTGCTGCTTGTTTTATAGTTTTTGCAGAGATTTAACACTTTGATGGCTCCCCGATAAAAAAAAACCCTTCTGCTGGTTAACTGGGAAATAATCCACTTTATGAGGGACGTTCAGCAGCTAAATGACAGAGCAGCAGCCATCCAGAGTCCTGAGCTGGACTTCACATCCGGAGGGAAGGTTTTGGAGTTTGCTGACTTTAGTTGTAGTAAAAAGATGTACTTCCTCACACTAAAGAAAGACAAGTTTGCTGTGAGTATAAATCCAAAGTTGTGCTTATTAATAGTCTTCCTGCAGTCCGGGAATTTAGATGTTTCCACTAGGAATTGGAAGGTGCCGATTAAATCAAATAAACCAATCATGATGTATGTTCACTTATCATAGCTTTAATCAGCGCTTCATGTTTAAACTGTGACTGTTTGATAAAAGGACATTTCAGTTTCATTTAACAAACAACCTACTGATCATTGATTCATTCGTAGTTGCAGACAGAAGCACTGTGATCTTTCAAAACAACACCACTGTCACTTTGAATAAAATGAAAGAAAAGTACGTGTGTTTTGTTCTTCCAAAGGTTCTGGAGGTACATGTTGGCACAATCTAACACTGATGAAGATGTCTATAAAAGTCCCCTTGGCAGTTTATTTCTGCCGCCATGATAAAAATAAACATTTGCTCAGTTTCCAGTACAAGATGTTGACTTTTTAATTGTTATCACTAGATACCAAATAATAAATGTGGTTTTCATCATATATCAATCAATTCAATATTTTTCTCTGATGACTACAAACATGTTTTGCTTTAACACAATACTTTTTCTAGTTTACTTATAAACTATTATATACGTTTCTTGTTAAAACAGGATTAATTTATGCGTTTTGACACACTTGTGTTTTTTTATCTGCATCGTTTCTGAAACTAGCGCGTTTCTCCTGATGGAAGAGTTTTAGACCCCCTTTACACGAGAACGAAACAGGTTGTATCCGCATAGTTTCTCTTGCGTATAGCCCTTTCATTCACACGAGGCCGTAACAAAACGATAGAAACGGACCCCACAAACGATAACGGGTCCCAAGGTGGATAGATTTGCAAACAAAACGCTCTGGGGGGTCAAACGGCTCCGTGTAATCGCCTCTATTCGATAATTTCCCCATAGATGAAGCCATAGCCCCGCCTCTCCCCATCTCTGCTGTTCACTGCTGTAGCATGGTCACTAGCTACTGCTAGTGCTACTGCTACTGACCATGCTACAGATGTTAGTGCAACATCTACAGCTCCTCTACCACAACCATCAGCAACAAGTGGACATGGAGAATTACATGAACTACTACATGTTGCTAAATCCACCGCGGGGCATAAACAGAAGGGCAACCATGCTCCGGGGTCTTCTTCGCTGCTTTTGGTGTATTTTGTGGCGGAAGTTACAGCGCCACTTACAGTCCCGGCATATGTACTACAGCGTTTCCAGCGGTCTCGTGTGAACAGACACGTTAAATTAAACGAATGCGTGTGAACGGAAGACTTTTTAAAAAACGCATACTGTGCATAAATGCAAACGTTCCCGTGTAAAGGCAGCCTTAGGCTGTTGTAGCGCGTTTGCACCAGTCGACCACATTATTAAGGTGTATGTACTATTTACAAGAAAATGTGTCCATTAGCCTGAAAAATCATATTTCAATGTGAAAAGATCGCATTTTATGAGAAACTGAGCAGATGTTTTTGTGAAATGATAGCAGTACCTGCTGTGCTTACTGAGGTGTTTGATATCTTCAGACATCGAGAATCAGCTGAGTCTCATTTCAGGCTCCGCCTCCTGCAGAGTTACCTGATTTTAGATCAGATTAGCCCTTTGGTCTTCACTATCCCACAATCCTTTGTGCTCTGGTCACTTGTCAAGTGGAGGCTCTCGACCAATTTTAGACCCCTGCTCCCAGAACCGCCCTGGCCCTTGTCAGACCTGATAAGCCCTGCCCCTCGAAGGTGGCAAAGCCTGAGACAGGACAGAAGAGCTGCACAGGATGAAAAACCATGGAGTGGTGCAGTGATACACTTTGTAAGCCCACCCAGAAGTTAGCATCGCAAGAGATCCCGCGGCAAAAAGCCAATTGGATTTATCCAACCAACATCTTTAAGACACATTTAAGTTTCAGACATTCAACAGTGGGGTGACGCATTTTATGTTGGAGAAATAAATGTGAAAACCTAATTAGCCTGTGCTAACCACTTGCCTTACTTCAGGCAGCTAACAAAAAACACGTTAAAAACCCATTGAATTTGTGACGAGGGAACCTGAACTGTTAAACTGCTAACTCATTTCAGATTTTTAGGACTTATTCCTGCACCACTCCATAAATATATTAAAATAAGTAAATGACAGAAAAAAGTGGTTCAGTTGCACTTCAAAATAAAAGTCCAGTGGATTGTTTTATTTTGAAGTGTAGTACCTATGTGCTTAATAAAAATATTATTTTATAATAAAAATAAATAAATAAATAATAGCACGGTCAACATTAGACTTAAATCGTCGCTGACCTGTTTGTGCGACATTATTACATGACCCGAGCTACATACAGATTCTTCACGGAAAAGGTCAACTGTAATGTCTCCATGGCAACAAAAGCCGCTGGTTGCTGTGACAACATGAACTGTGCCTGGACCATTGGTCATCACAGGAAGCAGTCCGGTCCTGGGAGAAGCAGAGGGACACAATCCTGGGGTTCTGCTTCCTTGGTTCCCCTGGGTTCCAGGTTCTGGTTCTCCAGGCAGACTGGATCTGTACGGGTCCAGGTTCTGGTTCTCCAGGCAGACTGGATCTGTACGGGTCCAGGTTCTGGTTCTCCAGGCAGACTGGATCTGTACGGGTCCAGGTTCTGGTTCTCCAGGCTGACTGGATCTGTACGGGTCCAGGTTCTGGTTCTCCAGGCAGACTGGATCTGTACGGGTCCAGGTTCTGGTTCTCCAGGCAGACTGGATCTGTACGGGTCCAGGTTCTGGTTCTCCAGGCTGACTGGATCTGTACGGGTCCAGGTTCTGGTTCTCCAGGCGGACTGGATCTGTATGGGTCCAGGTTCTGTTGGTTTGGTCCAGGTCAGTCTGAGAGCAGCTGGACGAAGGAGGACGGGAACAAACCCCTCTGGTCCGGTTCTTCCTCTATGTAACCATGCTGCACACACATTCACACACGTGATTACAATGTGAACATGGACTCCATACAACAATGTTCATTTTGACACCAAATTTAGATTTGGTTTTACTCCTTAGATAAAAAATATATTAGTTTTAGGCATTTTTGATTGGATTAGATTGGAATATAATCATATCAAAACAAACTAAGTAAGAAAAAAAAGCAATAACAGGAGAAATTAACACTTTTAAAGGTTTGGTCATTAAGTATTTATTTTTTCTTTAAAGAAATCTGAGCTGTTGCCATCTTTGTTGTGTACTTTACCATAGTGACATGTTGGGTGTTTCTCAATGTCGAAGAAGGCTGCTCCAAAGCCACTATTTCAAGCATACTACGTCATCGAGTGCCGCCGAAGGACTGTTCCAATGTCCAGCATACTTGGAATTCTACTGAGGCCGGCGTACTTCGTAGCGAGAAATTTCGAGGCTGCACATGTGTAGACTCCGCGGTCTTAAAATCCCCACAATGCTTTGCACACGGACCAATTTCCAAATCTTTGGCGGAAATCGCACTCCATTTAAGGCGGGGCCTCGCATATGACGCACACCTGCACACCAGAGGCCTGAACTATGAAGCCGGATTTTCGCTTAGCTGGCTAACTTCAGGGAAAACTCGGGCTTTCCGGTCCTACGACGCTGGTTCTCTTTTTAGCGGGCTAGATCTCCATGGCAACTTATGCTGAGCGGCTAACCTCCTCGGGAGGAGGTTAGGTTGCAGGCTAAGAGATCAACTCAGTGAAAGCACCGCCTGCTGACCAATCAGAGCTCCGTGTGCGGAGTTTAAAGCGATCAAGTCATATTACAGGATAGAGGAAATACAGAAAAACTGCCGTTGCAGGAAAGACGGCCGGCAAAAATCAACTGACTGTGTGAACGTGAAAATTAATAGAATATCCCCTCCCATCTTCAGAGCAATCTGACTATTATAACATTAGCGTTAAATATCTGCCACGACATAAGTAACCGAATCAGAGTAACATTAAGTACAGTCCGCGGCACTGTGAGTGCAGACGTCGATGTGTCCCATTATCATTCATATCATATCACATCATAATGTATCATATATTTCCTTATCTGAGTCAGCTTCTTGAGCCGTATCTGGCCGTGCAACACTCACAGTGTCACATACTGTATGCAGAAGTATTATTTTAAGCAACACATTAAGTTGACGAAACACTCGAGTCAAATGTAATTAAAGTCAGATCCACTCGTGTCTTGGACGGGGCAGTGATATCATAAACCTGTTAATGTACGCATTCAAACACTTTTTCTTTTACCAGCTGTATTCACCTTGCAGGTGCAGCTATGTGGCTTATATCCTGGATAAAGTGTTTAAGTCATGGATGTTTAAAGTTTAACTTCTTCATATTTGACTAATATTAAAGTTCACTTTCCATTCAGGAAGTATGACGCTGCGCTGTCAGTACGCTTGTCCATGTTTGAGATTGGTCGAATGCTCCAAATACCACCCCTTTCATGTGAACGCGCACCTAACTAGATAGGGCACGGCTGGCTTAAGCGATCCACTTGATAACCAGCGTCGTAGTACAGTTTAGCGAGAGCGCGTATGTTTTGGATTGGGCCAACCAGCTAACTCAAACATATCCAGGTTAGGAAAATCCGGCTTCAGCTCTGTTAGCCTGTTCCACAATTCTTCGTTTTCGAGGCTAGGAAGGATTCTTGCCTCGCTTCTGAAGCAAGTGACTCGGAAGACATGTGCTACCAAGCAAGCGTCCTCGACATTGAGAAACACCCGTTATGTATATCACGAGGCCAGTGGAAAAAGCACCTTCACAGTTGTTGAAGTAGGCCAATGGGAGTACCAATCAGAGTCAAGTTTCTGATACTTACCCACCAATCACTATCCTCCTTGCCCAGGACCACCAGCACCTGACCCTCAAAGAAGCTCAGCTCATCGTGGTGGTCGGCCTGGCAGTCGTACAGCGCCTCCACCCGGCGGCTCGTCGCACCCCGAGGCTGGTGGAGGTAAGCAAAAAACACGATAATAATAAATATGTCCCGATAATAATAAATATGAATTAAAATAAATGTTCATCATGATTGCTTAGGCATCAGTAGGAGGTGGAACCTTTGTCTTTCATTTGGGGCTGATCAGCTGTTGAGGGCGGTTTCTAAGGCACTGCTGGAGTGTTGTTATGTGGTTTCAATGGTGAATCTACATAATAGTAAAACCTATTTAACATTTTTGTTTAGTTTTTAACCCTTTTTATATTGTAGTACTACTACAACATAAATAAAAGATTGGGCATCTTCTGCCACTACTGAGAACAGGAAATACAGGTCTGTATGAAAAACATTGTCCTCGTGTAAAGAGAATAGTGAAACAAAAATATGCTGAAAAACCATGGATCACTAAGGGAATATTAAATGCATGTAAAACGAAAAATGAATTATATAAAGACTTCTTAAAGAATAGATCAGTAGAGGCTGAACAAAAATACAAGACATACAAAAACAAACTAACAAAGATAATACGATGTAGCAAAATGGATCATTACAACAAATTATTGGAGGATAAAAAAAATAACATTAAAAACACATGGAATGTATTACATACCATTATTAAAAAAGGAAATGGATAGGCCCAATACCCAAACAGTTTTCTGTCAAAAAACGATACAGTAATTTATGACATGACCTCAGTTGCTGAAGATTTCAATAAGTACTTTGTCAATGTTGGTCCTTGTCTAGCTGGGGAAATTCCAAATACTGGTAGTAGTGAAGGTGTAGAAAGTAAAGATATATATGTGAAGGAAACTATATTCTTAAGAGGGACTGATGAAAATGAAATTATTGACACAGTTAAAAAACTTAAGAGTAAAAGGTCTACAGACTGTCATGATATTGACATGTATACAGTTAAAAACATTATTGAATGTATAGCCAAACCACTAACTCACATCTGTAATCAGTCAATACAAACCGGTGTATTTCCAAATAAAATGAAAACTGCTAAAGTCATCCCAATACATAAATCTGGAGATAAACATGTACTGTCAAACTATAGACCAATTTCATTGCTCTCACAGTTTTCTAAAATACTGGAAAAAATCTACTATACAAGACTAAATGACTTCATCACCAAACATAACATACTCTATGAACAACAATATGGTTTCAGAGCAAACAGAACCACATCATTTGCAGTTATAGAATTTATGAAACACATTACTAAGGCAATAGAAAAGAAAGAATATGCAATAGGGATATTTCTGGACCTTAAAAAAGCATTTGACACGGTTGACCATGAATTATTAATAAAAAAACTACAGATATATGGCATTAGAGGTGTTGCACTATCATGGCTATCCATACCTACATAACAGGGAACAGTACGTTGAACTACAAAGCCATAAATCACAACTACTGCAGGTTACATGTGGGGTGCCGCAGGGCTCTGTCTTGGGGCCATTACTATTTATTCTGTATATTAACAATATATGTGAAGTATCAAAAACGACTAAAACCATTCTTTTTGCAGACGACACAAGTCTACTCTGCTGTGGGGACAATTTAGAACAGCTATTGGTCACAATGGAAAAGGAACTGAGCAGGAGGAAGATCTGGTTTGACCAAAATAAATTAACATTGAACGCAAGCAAAACCAAACTCATAATATTTGGGAATCGATCGACCAATACAGAGAAGAAACTCACTATAAATGGCGTCCAACTAGAAAGAGTATCGGAAATAAAATTCCTTGGAGTAATCATAGACAATAAATTAAGTTGGAAACCACATATAAGCTATATCAAAGCCAAAATATCCAAATCAATAGCAATTCTGAATAAAGCCAAATACCTAATTAATCAAGCTTCCTTGTTTATGCTGTACTGCTCCTTCATACTTCCATACATGATGTATTGTGTGGAAGTTTGGGGGAACACATATAAAACAAATACACATCCTATCTTCATCCTGCAAAAAAGAGCCATACGAGTTATACATAAAACTACGTACAGAGAACCAACAAATACATTATTTATCAAACTAAAAACACTAAAACTACAAGACCTGGTTGACTATAAAACTATTCAAATTATGTTCAAAGCCGCAAATCAACAATTACCTCATAATATCCAGGGACTTTTCACACGGAGAGAAAGCATGCACATGTTGAGAGGAAACTGCATTTTCAAAAAAAACACCCGTACGAACGAATGCCAAACTTCATTGCATCTCATCAAAAGGTGTTAGTGTGTGGAATAACTGTAATGATGCACTGAAAGTATTATTTAGGAGCCAAATCATTAATGGTTATGAACAGGACCTGTACAATCCCATTTGTTATTTCTTGTAATTGTAAAAGTAATTTCTTTCTGATTGTTTTGTAAAAAAACTAAAAACAAACAAATTAACAAGACAAACATGTTGCTGATGACGATGATCTAATATTTTATTTATAAGGAAAATGTATGCTAGAGGGGGTAAGACCAGAAAAGTTTTTTTGAAGCTTCTTCTTGCCCCTGTTGAACATGACAGAGACTATTTGAGAATTATTATTATTTTCTTTTTTTTTCTTTTTTTCTTTGTATTATTATTTTTTTGTACTTTGTTATAATTATTATTATGAGTGAGAAAGGGAAAAAAAAAAGAGAATATATATATATATATTATTATTATTGTTGTATGTTTTGTTTATGACATGTTCAATAAATTGACAAAAAAAAAAAAATACAGAGTATTGGGACATCCAAGCACAGCGAATAATTGCTATGCAACTGTAGAAAAGACACAATGTACAACATTCAAAACATCAAGTTTTATTTTTCTTCTTTCTTCCCCATTTGTTCCCCATATGTAGCCCCCCAGGGGAACTCTTGATTATAAGTGCTTTGAAGGGAGTTTACGGTTATGAAGATTTAAAGGTGCGGTAGGTAATTTTGGAGAAACCAGCTCGAGATCGCTAGAATTTGAAAATACACAACCGGAGAAAATCTGCCACTTCCTTATAGAGCCCCTCCTCCAACACATACGAACGTGCACATGACCAATGAGGGCACGAGATAAGTTTGTGCA